ATTTTGTAAAAGAAAATCCCAACATACATATATCAGTAAATTTATACTTAATTATATATGATGTGTTTGGATAATTTTTAAAACATTTTTATGATATTTTTTTAATTTTTTTTTAAATATTCTTTTATACTTATGAATATTATATATATATATATTTAAAAATATTTAGTTATCTACAAAATTTTAAACATATTTTAATAAAAAAATAAAATTTTTCTTTAAAAGAACACAAACTATTAAGTCTTAAGGAGGCATTTGATACATGAGAAAAAAAAATTATCTAGAAAAAAATTATTACTGAAATATAGTTGAAAATATATTTTATTTGAGTGTTACTAAAAAGCTGTATGGTAGATTCATATTTTTTCGGAAAAATTAAGTTAATTTTACTGAGTTTGTGTTTGGTTGGTTATGAAATATTAATGAAAGTATGAGTTTATTTTACCAAAATAACCTCACATTTATCTACAGATCATACAAATTGAAGGTCAATTTAGTCCACATTTTCGCGCTTTAATTTTGACTTCCCAGACAGTCAACAATTCCACCTATTTTATGGATCTCTCATTTGTCAGACCCGTAAGAAATTTATCACACAAAAATATTTTCCCGAAAATATATTTGACCTGGAAAATTTTGAGAATTAAGCTACCAAACGCTGAATACTTTGTTCCCTACCATGTTTTTAAAAAAATCGATACCAAACGTGCCTCAAAGGACATTTAGTATTAATTTTGGTTCGAACCTTTCTTAGAGAAAAATATCTTCACAAGGCATACAAACCTCCTTTTTCAAAGAAAGTTTAAGCATAGTTCAGAGGCAAAATAGGAAGAAGTCGATAGCCCAGGTAAAGCACATGAATTTCTTTGAACTATTTGGAAATGGGCCCCATTATTTATTCTTCATACAAGTCTTGAAACTATTATTTCATTATTGTTTTTCCTTTTCAGTTTTCTTTTGCCTATCTGTGGTTTTCTAACCATTTTTAAATTACTAATACGTAAATCACTGATTTTTTCCTTTCCATTTCCGCCAAAAAAAATGCAAAACATTTAATAACATTTAAGGCTAGGTGATATTATCCTTCATTATTGTTTTGATATTAAGATTATTCCTCATATGTTATAGTAATTATGAAAGGATTTCAAACTCTTATTAAATAATATAAAATAATTGAATTATTTATCCAAAAAAAATTAATATCATATTAATTGTAACTAATGATGATAGATGTAACCTTTTTAAATTTGTAAGAATCCGAGAATCACAATTGAGAATTATTTAAAGTGATAAATAGTGTTTAAATAAAATAATTTACTATTAATTTTAAAATAACAATATTTACGTTATTTATAATAATTATTATTTAGTACCCAAATTAATAGTTATGTAAAATGAGGGGATACAAATAAATTTGGGATGACAAGGATCCCCTCAAACGCGCGCATTCCCTAACACGCGAGTCTTGCATTCCCCATGCATGTTTTGCTTCTCTCTATTGTAAACTAATATTATACAAGACTCGCATGCCCTTTGTACGTTTTATTTCATTGAGCTTCATGAGAGTCTCATATTCCACGTTGGAGACTAATTTAGTCAAATCCCATATAAATTAATCGCAATTCCAAAAGTGTATTAAAATAATTTTTTTTCCCACAATTACATCAATATGACCATTTTGCCCTTGTTGGCTACTTGGCTTTTGTCCCTTTTGAATAATTTGTTAGAGTAAATATCATTTTTATACCTAACAAAAAGTACTGTCCTTACTTTAGTCCCTTATAAAAAAAAAATTAGTCAGTTGGTTCCTAACAAATTCAAAGTGGACCCATTTAGTTAAAATCGTGGTCCCTCACAATTTCAAAAAAGACTCATATTAGTCCCTCAAAAAGACTAAAATGGGTTCACTTTGAATTTGTTAGGGACCAACTTACTAATTTTTTTTTTGTAAAGGACTAAAGTGGAGACCGTGATTTTTATTAGAGACCCAAAAGGATATTTACTCAATTTGTTATTATTGTAAATTGGTATAAATCAGGAGAGCTTTAAACCCATTACTTTAATCAAGATTAATGGAACCAATCAATTTATTATTGTAACTATAATAGTCCAATCAAATTTTCATTATAGCCAATATAATCAATAATAATGGAGGTAATAAATTATCCATTAAAAAGGACAGCATAACGTTTATTAGATTTTGGTTCTTAAAGTTTTCATCCATTTAATTTTTTTAATATACCCATTTTATTTTTAGTCCCTCAAGTATTAATATCTTAATAAATATAAATTACGAAAAAACTAATTTTACACATAAATAAAAGTTAATGCCTTAATAAAAAAATTTATAAAGACAAAACTCAAATCAACGTAAAATATAGAGATAAATACTTTAATAGTAAGAATAATAAAAATATGAGTATTTGAATATTATTAAAAATAAAAAATAAATTTCAAAATCCAAAAGGGTTAAAATTATAAAAATTAAAATCATATTTAAACTTATTTATATTCTAAGCACTATGAAATAGAAAAGAAAGTACCAACAATGTATGTTATCAAAAAAAAAAAAAAAAGTACCAACAATGTTAAAAGAGACCAGTTTTTAACACTGTTGGCAAAATCGAATTGTATTACAAAAATCTCGCCAAGTATCTCTCAACTCGTTTCCTTTAAACTGGATTTTAAAAAAATCCTGCGTGAATATCTGAGCCTTTTGTTTCTATTATATGAAGGGAAAAAGACTTTTTATATTATATGAGATAAAATATCTGATTCGTAGCATCCTTACTTCGATATTTATTCTAACCATATTTCTTTCTCTCTCAATAAAAAAGCTTTAACTTCTTGTGTATTGTACAAAACGTTTGTAATTGTATAAGTTGCAAAAAGGGGAAGCTTTCTCCCGTAAAGGATAGGAGAATTCAGATTTTTTTTTTATATTTATTTTACCAAATTTGGTAATGAAGTTGAATATTTAAAGAAAGAAAATAATAAAGAAATAAAAGTAAGAAAGAGGGGGAGCACATTATATATAATATTTTAATTTGATGATGACCGAAATCTAAATAAATTAAAGGGATATCATTGTCGCCTTGATCAAATGAATGACACATCAACCCTTCAACCATTCTAAATACATGAGAAAAGAAACAAAAAAGGTGCACGCGCCAACACGCGCTCCTCTCTCCCCCACAAATTTCCAATAGAAAAACCGCCTTCTCACTTCATTTACCTGCCTGTCGTTTTTGTTGTGTCAAAAGAGAAACTAAAAGGAACACAAAACATAAAGCGCTTCTCTCTCTCTCTCTCTCTCTCTCTCTCTCTTCAGGGGCTGTGTTCAATGTGCTGGGTTGCTTGTCCTTGTTTATCAACCAAATCTTGAACAACCCTTTTCACTGTTCTTCCATTTGAAGGAAAATTTATACGTTGTCCATTTCGTTTTCTCCCTAAAGTTAAATGCTTGTGAGGTGCCTCCGAAACTGGATCGCTATTCAGTAATCTAATTGCGCCCCTCATTTTTTATTTTTTTTTGGCTTCCCTATAGACCCTTTGGCTCATTGAATCTCCTCACGCCCTTTTGCTAGCTGACATTGCTGGAGTATTTCTAACAAGGTATCTCCATGTCATGGGTTTCATCTTTCCATTCTCAAAATGGTTTTTTTTTTCTTTTTATTTTAAATTATAAGAAAAGGTTGATTGCTGTATTTCTGTCTTCATTGATCTGTATCTCTGTTTTAAGAACTCGAAATCAGCTTGGGATTACTTCTTCTGATTAGTTTTCTCAGGATTGATTGAGGGTTGGATTTGGATGTTTTCCGCTGATGGGTATTTTACCATTTGATTTCTCTTCCCCCTTGTATTTATTTTTTATCATTTGAGTCGTGCCAACCCCTTCTTAGGGCATGATGAGAAAGGTTATGTTTTGTTTCAAATATTGTTTCTTTGTGCAGAAAAGACATTTTTTGTGTGGATCAACTGGCTTTCTTGAAAAAGTTGGTGTTAAAAAATGTTGGCTTTAGCATCGTTTTTTTCTTTATGATAAATGTTTGTAAGGAATCAGCGAGTTGCAATGCTTGTTCTGTTTCTGAGGTTATTTGAAGGATCCCATTGCATTGAAGTTTTGTTTTATTCGTCTATTTCATAATATTTCCCGTTTGTGTCTTGCGTTGTGTTCATTTATAACTCCTTAGCCATCAAATTTCTGAGCTAACCTGTAAGCATGCAGGCTTGGAGTGTGCTTGCAGTGTAATGGCTGTAATCTATTGTTGGGGTGAGCCGAATATAATAGCATATATGCTATCATAGTTTCTGAAGATTATCTTCTGCTTTCTAAATTCTTTCATATTGTCCTATGTATTTTTTTTTCCTTTTTGTTTTCTATCTAATATTGTGTTTTATTTTACCTGACAATCTGGAACTAGCATTTGTGGGTTGCAAGTAATGATTATTGTGTTGTGCAATTTATTAGCAATTTTTGTTTCCAAATATGAAATCATTCTAAGGATTTTCCCATCTGTGGGATTTGGCTATGATGCTTTGCATTTTATTAGCATTTTCTGTTGTAAAATATCATGTCATTTTAAGATACCAAATCATCTTAAGGTCTTTCGTAGGAGCATGTAGGAAAAACCTGATTTTCTACTTTAGTAAGTGCTGAACACCTTTTCTCTACCATAGGGATTTATAAAACACAGAAAAGGAGGATAGATAGTGGCTACACGTCCCTTCAATTTGTCCTCTTGTTAGGTTGAGAAAGAATTCATATTGTAATTCTTTTCTTAAAATGGAATGAATTTTCTGTATGTGTCTTCTGCTGTCCCTCCTTGTATTTTATTCCATGATCCTTTGATTTAGCACAAGGAAGTTTTTCTATTGTCTTTTTTGTGCATTTGATCTTTGCTTATGTTCTCTTCCTATGGTATTATTGGTTGGATGATCTGAAATGCCTTTTTCAATTTTTTGGTAAGATGCTTTACCTTGTTTAACTTGAACATAGGATAGCATATCTCCATGATCTATTATATCCTCAGTTGATAAATCCTCTAGGCTTTTTATCTTATTTGGTGTTGGGATGCTTTAATAATCATCTGTGGTTTTTCTTTTTCCTGTTGTTTTTTAATATACTAATTAGGTCTTTCCTTCCAACTCCTATGGCGGGAGAAACATCATGGATCAGCCACTATGATGACAGACAAAGGGATACTGGGGAGTTTGATTCATTTTCAGAACCCATTGAGGAAGCTGAAAAGGAAGCAACTGCTGTTTCTGTGGATGTCATTTTGCCTGATGACTTGTTGGCACGAATCCTAGCCTGTCTTCCCATCGCAAGCATTTTTAGAGCTGGTTGTGTGTGTAAAAGATGGCATGAAATTGTTTCTTCAGAGAGGTTTTTATGGAACCTTTCACATGTTCTTCCACAGAAACCTTGGTACTTTATGTTTACCAGCTCTGATGAACCAATTGGTTATGCTTATGATCCCATCCTTCGGAAATGGTATGGCATTGAACTTCCATGCATTGGCACTTCTAATTGGTTCATTTCTTCATCATGTGGCATGGTTTGCTTCATGGACAATGACAGCAGAAGTGAATTATGCATCTGCAACCCTATTACCAAAAGCTACAGGACGCTTGAGGAGCCTCCGGGTTCAAAATTTTCTGATTACAGTGCATTAGCAATCTCAGTGAACAGGGAATCTCACATTTATACTGTGGCAATTGTAAAATCTAAGCAAGTCCCTGGGGACTTTTTCCAGTGGGATATCTCAATTCATATATACATTTCAGAAAAAGTAACCTGGGTGACCTCTTTAACAGAGGTTTTGACTGGGTGGAGAGGCGGTGATGAGAGTGTGATATGTAATGGGGTGCTATACTTTTTAGTTTACTCAACTGGGGGCGGCGCACCAGAAAATCGTCATTCCCTGATTGCATATAATATGTCCAACAGTTCTTCTCAAGGTAGCTTAACAAGGAGCTTTATTCCAGTACCTTGTTCTTTAACATGTGGCCGTCTGATGAATCTGAAGGAGAAGCTTGTAATGGTGGGGGGAATTGGTAAACCAGATCGACCTGACATAATAAAAGGAATTGGTATCTGGGTTCTAAATGATAGAAAGTGGGAAGATGTTGCACGAATGCCCCACAAATTCTTCCAAGGTTTTGGAGAGTTTGATGATGTTTTTGCTAGCAGTGGTGCAGATGATCTGATATATATTCAAAGTTATGGAGCTCCAGCGCTTCTCATATATGACATGAACCACAAGCAATGGAAATGGTCACAGAAGTGCCCTGTGACAAAAAGGTTCCCGCTGCAGCTTTTTACTGGTTTTTGCTTTGAGCCCAGGCTTGAAATTGCTCCATAGTTCTCCATACTATCAATAGCTGCTATTGAGACTTGTCTCTAAGATTTCTGCCCATTTTTCTTCTATTGTTCTTTACCTTAAAATTTAATATGATTTCAGTGTTTTGACAGTTCATACAAATGTACTCGCTGATAAAACTGCTTATTCATGGATACTGAGATATTATTTTAAAAATACTACAGCTATATTTTTTTACCTCTTCTCATTCTCTCTATTTATGCATTTGCTCTAATAAAAATCACTACCTTATCTATTTTTTATTGTGTTATCAAAGAAATGGATAATGCATGTTCTTGTCTGCTCTATTACTGGAAGGTGGCTCTTGTTTATCAAAGCAGAACATTTCATGGAGCTGTGTGTTTCTTTGCTTCCCCAGAAATTTATTGGCCGTTTTGCGTTTACATTTATTTGCTTTACGTGACTCGTTATTGTAGAGGTAAGATGGCTTTAGAGTTTAGATTCCTGGTTGTGAATAGACTAATTTCCTTCTGCTTACCAGTGTCATTTAGAGCTGTGTAATATTTGGGTTGCCTTCACATTTTCACTTTTCAAAACTAGTATTTAGTAAGGGCATAGCTATTGTTTGATTAGGTAGGCGAGATTGTTCAGGGTTAATAGTCTTTATTATGCCGTTATAGTCTTATCATCTTGTGGACGCTTAAAAAGGAAGGGAAGAATTCTTATACAGACTTATGTTAGTTAACTGTTGAGGCTCTCTAATGATTTTGAATGGACTTTATGGAACCTTTTCTAGCATCCTTAACACATGTCAAGTATTGACTTATTGGTGAGCCAATGGGGGCATGCTATGCTAAGATCACATTCTAGAGTATGGTGGTAGGTGTGTGTGTCGTCCGTACATCACCATTTTTTATTTTTTTTTAGCAATTTGAAAAAGGTGTGAGGGGATGGTGGAGTGGAGTGGTGAGGTCCACGGTTGCATTAGCAAAGGTGGGTTTTCATTGTGGAGGAGATGTGACAAAGAAACAGATATCCTTTTGAAAATGCCTATCACTAGCCAACAAGGCAAGGGATGAATTTTCAAACGGCTTCTCATTTTGGATTGAGTTGCCGACTGGATATGAAAGTAACTTGTATGGGTGTTAACTGTTATCAATACAGTTGGTTAATAGCACAACAAATGCGTCCCCATCCCATTACAATTTTGAAATGCTTAATTAAGTTTATTTTACTCTCTTGAATTGGAAAACACTTTTATATTCCCAACTTTTGTAAAATAGAAAAATCTAAAACCCTGCTGAGTGAAGGAGGATGGTTTATATTGGATCTCCCATCCATTGAGGTTGAGTCAGACGTTTGTTTGTGCAAGACTTGCAATTTGCAACATTTTCATCCCTGATTCGTTGATAATTCAACTGGTACGATTACTAAGAATAACGCTATTTTCAATTAATTTTTACACTCCCTCGTACCAAACATGAGTATCTTGGATTCCCAACCTAAGTTTTCTTGGATTTTAAATTTTAACCTTCTACCAAACACCCTTATATTACCTTTTTTTTTTTTTGTATAAAAGCTGAAAGAACAAACTAAAGAGCTCTAATTACACGGGGCCAAGCAACACCCCTAAAATCATTCCCCAAAAACCCCAAACAACCTTGGGGAGGGTTCTCTAACAGAACAGTTTCCCAATTCAACGAGTGGGAATACCCAGCAAGCCAGTCCGCAACACTGTTGCCCTCTCTGAAAGTGTGCTCAAAGTGAATCTGCCACTCCAACTCCTTCATCTTGCTTATCTTCTTGACTAGACCTGCATGAGGATGGCTTGACCCACACCCATTGCTAATCATATCCAGGGATACTCGGGAATCACTCTCAATAATCACCCTTCTGTAGCCATTATCCCAGGCAATCTGCATCCCCAATCGTATACCCCATAATTCCGCTTGAACAGAACTCCCAGCCCCCAGGTTCCTAGCAAAACCCAATAGCCAATGACCAGCCTCATCCCTTAGAATTCCTCCACACCCACTCTTTCGATTCCCCTCCATAGCAGACCCATCAGTGTTCAGTTTGATCCAACCCACTGGCGGAGGAGACCAGTGAACAAGAGTCTCCACACGATGACCATGCTGTAAACCAGAAACTGTATACAACTTTTTTGCATCTAGAAAATTCGATAAAAAAGTACGAATTGATCTAGCAATGTCATCTATACTATTGTTTGTATGTTCAAAAACAAAACTATTTCTATCCCTCCAAATAAACCAACAAATAATTCCAAATAAAGTGCTACCCTCTAAACCTCCCAATAAGCTAAGTTTGAGGGTAATGTTAGATACCAGCCAAGAGCGAAGAGGCAAGCTGTTGAAAGTATCCCAGTTTCCACTGCTAATAAATTTCCTCCATAGAGCCTGAGACCATAGACAATCCCGCATCACATGAATGCAACTTTCCGGGTGAGATCTGCACTTGGGGCAAGTACTTACATCAGTCATATGTCTCTGGTATCTTTTTTGGTTCGTGAGCAAAATTTCCCCAAGCAATAACCAAAGGAAAGTCCTGATTCTAGGTGGTCCATCCCATTGCCAAACTGAATTCCATTGTGGGTGTGCCTGGGGGTTCTCATCTACACCCAGATTACCAAAGGCCATTTTAATCGAGAATTTTCCATCAGGAGAGGCTTCCCATATCACCTTGTCCACACCATCACCCGGTTGAGGTGGACATATGCCTGCCATGCAATTTAGAGCTTCTGTGGTTATGAAATTCCTGAATTCTTGCCACTTCCATTCGCCACTCTGATCTACCATTTGAGCAACCACTACATCCTGGGATTCTAAGGGTATAGTTTGAGTAGTGTGGTCTTGTAATGGTCCAATACTCAACCATTTATCCCTCCAAAACAGACTATCAGCACCATTGCCTAACAAAATTCTTGACCCTTCGCAAACTTGGGGCCAAACCCGAGTCAGACCCAGCCAAAGATTAGAGCAGGTGCTCCTCTTTTTGATCATAGGCATATGGCTATCTTCCACTTTGTACTTATTTCTCAGAACCTGTGACCAAAGCTCATTTCTATGCGTGAGAATTCCATGCCCAATTTTCATGAGGCATGCTTTGTTGGTTAATCTAAGACTTCTGATCCCAAGTCCACCCTCCTCTTTTGTCTTACAAACAGTACTCCAAGGAACCGCATGAGCCTTCCTGGTTTCTTGATTAGAACCCCACACGAAACCCCTCATTTTTTTTCCACCTCATCACACGTACCAAGAGGAAGCAGGGATGTTTGCATGGAATAGGTGGGTAGTGCAGCCAGAACGGACTTAGTGAGGACAATCCTGCCTGCCAAAGAAAGTGATTTAGCCTTCCACGCACTCAGTTTCCTGTTGGTCTTATCAATGATGTACCTAAAAGTACTCTTATTGACTCTCTTATGAAGGATCGGAATCCCTAGATATTTTCCCAAGTCAGCAGTAGGGGTGAACTGCAAGGTTTGACACAACTCTTCTCTCTTAACATGATTCACATTTCTAGAGAAGAAACACCTCGTCTTGCTGTTGCTGATTTTTTGCCCAGAAGCCTTACAAAAATGGCTCAAAATATTCGAGACCAGACTAGCTTGATTTGCAGAAGCTTCTGTAAATAAAAGGAGGTCATCTGCAAAAAATAGATGTGAGATAGGTGGCCCTTTCTTTCCCATTTTAATCGGTCTCCATTGCTTCTGATTCACAGCAGCATTGATGAGTTGCCCAAGTCTCTCTATACACAATACAAAGAGGTATGGGGAGAGAGGATCTCCTTGTCTGATGCCTCTAGATGGTATGAAATCCTCTGTTTGGGCTCCATTCCACAGCAGGTTCATGGACGATGATGTAACGCAAGCCATGATAAGATCCACCATGGAAGTAGGTAGGCCAGCTACTTGGAGTGTTTCCTTGAGGAATTCCCAACCAACTCTGTCATACGCTTTTTCCAGGTCAACCTTAATTGCCATCCAGCCCTTCTGTCCTTTTTTGACCCTCATGGAGTGAAAGATCTCCTGACTAATCACTATATTATCCGAAGCATGACGGCCTTAAATAAAGCTACACTGATTTGGCATAATTAGCTCCCTCATGAGATGCTTCAGCCGCGAAGCAATAATCTTTGTAACCACCTTATAAATGACGTTGCATAAACTAATAGGCCGGAACTGACTTATAGCTTCTGGGCTCTCAGATTTGGGTATCAAGCAAATTAACGTTTGGTTAATTCCCGCAACTTTCGTAGGTTCTCTGAAAATATCCTTTATGAACTGAACCACTGAATTGCTCACTGTTTCCCATTGGGACTGAAGGAAGACAGCATGTAAGCCATCCACCCCTGGGGCTTTGAAAGGATGCATGCCAAACACAATGTTTTTAATTTCAGAGAAAGTGGGGGCAACATCAAAGTTCCTCCAAGAAAAATCATCCAGAACCGGGAACATACCCCCAATACACAGGTGTGGCAGATTTTGGGCCTCTTCAGAATACAGGTTCTTAAAGTAACTGATGGCTAGAGCCTTTAGTTCCTCCGGATCCTCCACCTAAGTCCCTACATCATTTTTCAAAGCTGTCACCTTATTTCTCCTGGTTCGGGCAACCGTGGCCGAATGAAAGAAACGTGAGTTCCTATCCCCAAAAGCCAACCAATTGCATCTTGAACGTTGGAACCAGGTCAGCTCTTCTTGGATAAAAATAGAGTTCAAATCCTGCCAAATTTCCCTATGCAGCCTGTCAAGAGTTTCACTTGGACCCCTACAGAGTTGCTCCTCGATCCCTTTCAGCCTTCGTTGTAGGTGATACTTCTTTCTCTGATCTCTCTTAAAACAATTCTGGTGCCACAAAGATGCTTCCTGCTGAAATTTGGTTTTTGCAGGGACACAAGCAGAATTATTTTGCCAATAATCCTTCACAACTCCTCCAAACCTTTCATCTGTCAACCAAGCAGCAAGGAACCGAAATGGTTTCTGGCCCCTAGCTATATCAGCAGAAGAATCATCTCGAATAAGAATGGGCCTGTGATCTGATCCATTAAACAAGAGGTGCATAATGGATTTATTAGGGAACTCCAAATGCCAAGCTTCATTCACTACCAACCTGTCAATTCTTTCTTGGAGGCCTCCCCTTTTCCACGTAAATTTAGGACCAGAGAAACTTACATCAAAGAGGCTGCAGTCACTGAGGCAAGAGGAGAATTCATCAGCATTCCCTGCACAAAAACCTGAACCTCCCTGTTTTTCCCCTTCTTCGAGCAAGACATTAAAATCTCCCATAACAGCCCATTTGTCTACACCTACCGAATTAAGTCTCCTAAGATTGTCCCATAAAGTTCTTCTTTCAATCCTCCGGGGACTCCGATAGACAAAAGTAAAGTACTCTTCCTTGCCAGCACCTAGCCAAGTCAGCTTGGAATGAACAAATTGGTGATTTTCCTCCAAAATGCTAATAGTAGTGGTGTTTTTATTCCATAGAAGCCAGATGCCTCCGGAGAATCCCTCAGCTTCCCTTCTGAAAGAGCTATCAAAGCCCAACTTCCTAACAATACTGTCAGCTCTCTTACCACTAATTCTAGTTTCTAGTAAAGCTAGAACTTGAATTTTATTTTGAAAGACTAAATCCTTAATAAGAGAAGATAATCCATTTTTCCCTGCTCCTCTACAGTTCCAAGTGCACACAATCATCAAAAGGAAATGATTGCAGTCTAGGATCAACCCACAGGCCCAACTAACCTGCAACATGTGGTCTTCTCTCTCCATCAACATTGGTTATATCGTCCAAAGCCATGGCCACTCTGCCCTCTGAGTGCATAGCTTTCCCTCTCCCACTCTCATCAACAGCAGCTCTAGACAACTCTGGACTTGGATTAACTTCGGGTCCTGGGTCCACCTGCACTTGAACACTGCCTCCTGGCCCCACAAACAAGTCCTTCTTTGGCATATAAACAACCTCCTGAGACTTCCATTTACTGTTAGCTCTACTGACAAGGATTGCTTCCCTAACCGGAGACTGGAGTGACAACCCCTTAGAATGATCACCAGAAGTTGATGGGGAGTATACCTGTTTCTCTGGAGTCAAAACAGCATTAACGGGCACCTGAATTGGGCTATTCTTCTCCAAACCACCCTTTCTCCTTCTAGCATCAGAGTTCCTTCTTGATTGTCCAGACACGGCAACAACTTTGGCATTTGTTCTTCGGGTCTCCTTTGCCCCTTCCTCCCCCAGTGATTCAAATCGAGATCCAGATCCCTTGTTTGTCTGTACCTGCCCATCATGAGCACCTCTGGTATTTCCTTTACCTCCACTCTGCTCCTTGTTTTTAGGAGATGCAGCTGCCCTCTTATTATTGCGTCTCTGCACAGTCATCCAAGTGCCAAACCCGTCTTCCTCTTGGCTCTTGGCCACCTCGCCAGCAATTGGGCTTTCACCATGACAATGTTCAGGCTGGGCTCCATGTGGGTTCTCCCATGTATTCACCTCAACTTGCTTGTTGATCACAGGATTAAGCGAGCAAACATCCTTCCGATGGCCGTATTGCCCACAAAGGAAACAGATGAGATGCAATCCTTCGTATCCTATGTATAATTGCCGTTGCCCGATCCTAAATTTGGATAACAAACTCTTGCTTAAATCAACTTCAACGCAGATCCGGGCAAATCTACCTCTATCAGTCACCTCTTCGTGACTCCCTAGACCCCCTGTCCTCAGAGAGCTTTCATCAATGCATAGGGTCCGTCCCACCATATTCCCCATTTTCCAAAGGTCCTTGAAAGTGTAGAATTCCCGCGGCACACCTGGAATACGAATCCATACCGCCAGTTTCCTGACCTTTTCATCATGTGGATCAAAATTTGGCCTCCATCGTTGGACAATGAGATAGTGGTCAGCCACTATCCAAGGTCCCTGTTGCTGAACGAAGAGGTAATCTTGAGTCTTCTCAAATTCCACCAAGTAGTGGTCATTTTCCAGGTCCAGGACCTTGTACTCACCTTCGAGATTCCATAGCCTGTGTATGCGGTTCTAGAGGAACTTCGCTCCAAGGCGTTTTTCCATAAGCTTCACTATCAGAGCATTTCGCCATCGTTTACACTGTTCAAGTTTTTCCAATACGTCAAACTGAAAGTAGGGGTTCAAGGCTGTTTGCTCGTATGCCTTCATGGCTTCTTTCTCCTCCTCCTCATCCCGTCGGCACTGGGCCAGCCAGTCCTCATCTTCGTTCCCCTGAGCTCCGTCCCACACATCATTCACCTGAATCAGCTTGTCTTTGTATGAGATCAGTCCGCGGGGGTCCCTGCGAGCTGCTTCTCCCATCTCCATGCCATCGGTCTCAGGGTGTGAACCCCCTTCACCCGCTTCGGTCTCCATTACGCCCACAATCGGGGATCCTTCGAGCATTTCCTGATCCACCAGAACTAACCCCTTGGCCTTCTTCGGTTCTCTGGTAATACTTCCGTCCCCGTCCGTGGTGGGGGGTCTTCCCCCTTTTTCCACCATGAAAAGATCGTCAAAACCTAGCAGAGATGCAAAAAGAAAAATCACGCGCCCACGCGCCCACGCGAGTGTATCTAATATTTTTTACGATTTCATTTTTACCCTTATATTACTTCAATGCAGCTATATATGTGTAAAGTTGAAACTGGTTGTGATGTTGCAGTTACATAATTGGGTATGAACTTGCATTCTCTCTCTCTTAATCTGGTAATTTCAATTATTTTATATATTTAATATTTTTTTTTTAATTTTACAAATAGACCTTTTCAATAGTCGTCTTTGTAAATTATATCACTTATGCACGTGTACAAAGTTTCAACTAATATTATTCGGCAAAAAAATTAAAATATTACTATTTTAATAAATAATTACGAATACATAGCTGTTTCGAAACTATTTACGGATCTATTGCATTAATTCACGCCCAAATTAGGCGTGACTATTCACGCCTAAATTAGGCGTGACTCGTCTGGTGTTGACACGTGGCACAAAAAATTAATAGTTTAACTGTAAAACTTTATAAGGCCATAACTTTAGACTCGGATATCCGAATGAGGTAATTCTTTTTTTGATTCCACATAACTTTTCGAAATCTACGCAATGACATCTCACTTGATATATTTTATCTCTCACAAACACAATTCAAATTACAACAATGATACTATAAAGATGACACCAAAGTAGATTAACTCATCTATAAATAAGATGACACCAAATTTTCTATTAAATACAAAACGCAATCAGCTCCAATTAAATACAAAACGCAATCAACTCCTATAACATTAAATTCAAAATTCAAATAACTTCCAGCAAATTTATTTTAATTGGCGACAATATGTAACAAACTCATAAAATTGCAACGCAATCAGCTCCTATTAAGTACAAAACACATTCAACTCCTATTAAATTCAAAATGCAATCAACTTATTGGAGGTTACTTGAATTTTGAATTTAATATTATAGTACCATTATTGGGCGTGAATGAGTGCAATATATTCGTAATTAGGTTCAAAACGGCAACTTATTCGTAATTATTTTTTAAAAAAGCAATATTTTAACTTTTTTGCCTCTACCAAGTGTTTGAAAAAATAGTGTACAAGGTTATTTATTTAATTATTAAAATATATACAAATTTATATAATATTCTATCAAGTGCTTAGAATATTTATTTAAATATTTTCTTTATTAATACAGATTTTTCAAATTGATTTTTGAGTTTAAATCATATATTATATCTTTATTTTGTTTTTCTTATTAATAATAATTTTTTAAATTTTTTTTGGTAATACACTATATAGTACAATTATTGCAAATTTGAATTGTGTTTGTGAGAGATAAAATATATCAAATGAGATGTCATTGCGTAGATCTCGAAAAGTTATGTGGAATCAAAAAAAGAATTACCTCATTCGGATACCCGAGTCAAAAGTTATGGCTTTCCAAAGTTTTACGGTTTGTAAGTTGACTTTTTTTGTCACGTGTCAACACTAGATGATTCACGCCTAAATTAGGCGTGAATGCCTTGGGAGTCACGCCTAATTTGGGCGTGAATGAGTGCAATAGATCCGTAGATAATTTCGAAACAACTATGTATTCGTAATTATTTATTAAAATAATAATATTTTAATTTTTTTCCCAATATTATTATGCTTAATTGATCCCTCAAACAATTCTATTTCCCATAAGCCCATTCACTTTATTCTGATTTCAAAAGATTAGCAATTTTCGTCACACTAAAATGTTCTTATCTAACCCCCTTGGCAGCTGAGCTCCCAAGAAATTGCGTGGTGCAGGGATCAAACCCTGTCTCAAGCAGTTTCTTGGAAAATCTTTGGGGGCCAGAGGATAAGCCAAAAATCTTCGGTTGGGGATTAGTCTCGTCCTTTCTCCGGTTGCGAAGCTTAGTGCACCCACTATTACAATGAGGGGCTAGCCCAAACGGGCCGTACCCCGAGGGCATGGTGCCCGGAGAAGGTTGAATGGGGATACCTCCTGGCAATGTACAAAAAAAAAAAAAAATGTTCTTATCTATTTATTAATGCCTATGAATGGAAAGATAGACACAAATTTATTTATATATTTGGTTGGTGGTTCTATAAAATAAATTAAAATTTTGCATAATCCCTTTAATTAATAGCCCTTTTTTACCTTTTATATTAGATATGTTTAATTTCACCCCTCGTAAAAAATTAAATTTCTTGCTCTTCTTTATTTTGTGACTTTGACATGTTTCTAAACAAAAGCAACCTAAGCTTTGCAAAGGGATGGCTGAAAATTGTCAAACTTGAAACTTAGAAGTTTGAGGGTCGAAGGGGAAGATGATGATAGCTTCTTTAATTGCAAAGGCTAAGATCCGCAAACACTTTCCATTTATGTTTCTCTAAATTGCAACAAAAATCATGTAATTTGAGCGACACATAGAATCATCATTTTGCCACCCACTAAAACTTCGATTAACACGTTCATCACCTAAAAAAAAAAAAAAAAAACTCAAACACCCAATTTGCGCTAGTTAGTTCGGGCTAGCATATTATTTGGGCAGCCCACAAATTTGTCGGGTTTTGGCCCACAACTTTCGAATCCAAAGAAAATGAGCACCAACGTTAGTCAACCGACAAGGTTAACGAACGAGAAAAGAGTTTCCGACTGAGCTGCGTGCAGCCAGAGGTAAGGATTTTTTCTTCACATGAAATGCAAATTCCTTCCCAAAAATTCATCTTTTTCTACATGCCAACCTAAATATGCTAAAAAAATTATTTTTTTCCCCTCTTTTCTTTTGGGTTTTATGATTATACAATACAGCATAATAAAAATTCAATTTTTTTTTTCCCCCAAAGTGGAATGAAGAGAATGATAGGTTTGGGGTTTGAGGGTTCAGCCAACAAGATTGGTGTTGGGGTTGTGAGCTTAGATGGCACAATTCTTTCAAACCCAAGGCACACATACATCACTCCTCCTGGTCAAGGCTTTCTTCCTAGAGAAACAGCACAACACCATCTTCAACACATTCTTGGTCTTGTCAAATCTGCTTTGGAAACAGCACAAGTCACTCCAAAGGACATTGATTGCCTCTGTTATACCAAGGGTCCTGGCATGGGAGCTCCATTGCAAGTGGCTGCTGTTGTTGTTCGTGTTCTTTCACAGCTTTGGAAGAAGCCCATTGTTGCTGTCAATCATTGTGTGGCACATATTGAGATGGGCAGGGTTGTAACTGGTGCTGATGATCCTGTTGTCTTGTATGTCAGTGGTGGCAACACTCAGGTCATTGCTTACAGTGAGGGGCGTTACCGAATCTTTGGAGAGACCATTGATATTGCTGTTGGGAATTGCTTGGATCGTTTTGCAAGGGTTTTAACACTTTCCAATGATCCAAGTCCTGGATACAACATTGAGCAGGTGCTTCGCTAACTGTCTATTTTACATAGTTTGTGGTCCATGCATGATATATGGGTTATGGGTTGGTTGCAACTTGGGTGGATGCTGTCAGGGGTCTTACCTTGAAAAGTAAAATTGAATGAGATTGTCCTCTTCAGTTTAGGTTTCTGATATCAAACTTGGTACTTCTAGTTCTGTGTTATTTAATATGCAAATTAGTCTATGAAGAATTATATTTGCATTTTCTTTTTCAATTTCCAACCTAGCAGTTCTTTTTTTGTTTTTTTTTTTATTTTAATTTTTATCTTTTTTTGTTTTAGCCCCGTTTATCTCTTCGTTTGTGATAGAGATATTCACAAATAAAATAGTATTTTACTACATATGTACTAGACATATGTATAGATATATATCTATGTTTATCCTTGATTCTTTCTGAAATTTTGATGGAAGGATTCCTCTTTCCTAGTATAAAAGGAAATGTTGTCAACTCCATTTGTTTTGTTAGTCACGTTAATTTGTTGACCAACAGTATCTTGACCCTTAACTACAAGAGCGTTGTAAATATTAGGCATCTTCCCCGGGGGGAAAGCTACATCTAGTACCGGCCCAATTATTTGGGAGATACGTCAAATATGCTCAATATCATTTGATTGAATAGTTGACCCAGCCTCTTGTTGTTTGACGAAACCCTCCACTTCAATTGGTATTTTTTCACGAAAAGCAAACATGAGATAATAAATCCAGTCTTTCGCTAAAGACGAAATAAATCAAGTGATTTCTTTGATTCGTTCTTTCTTTTACTTTTCTTTCAACTTCCAAAAAAATTATTGACAGATAATCTCCAGGAAAGGGTGTTTTGAATCAATTCATGAAGTTCACTTTGCAAAAACATAAAAAAAGAAATGGAATGTTTTGAAACATCGGAAAAAGCTATCTGTTGAGTTATTTATACTAATAAAAAAGATTCTTTAAGTTATTAATAATAAAATAAGAAGAACTCAACGGGACCCCTCGAATTCGTCAAAGAACAGAGTGGATCCCTTTTGAGACCGCTACTACAAAGAGTACTATACCCTTGATCGTGAAATATCGATTTCTTGTTGAACACTGTGAATTGCGTGAAAGTAGGATACTCCAAATTCGGGAGTCCCGACTCGGTATTCTTAAAAAAATAGAGAAATCAGAACCAAGTCAAGATGATACGGATCAACCCCTCTTTTTGCGTTCTTGTGCCAAATGTTATCATAATTTGATCTGTCTCAACTTGGCTCATATAGTTTTCTTATCCTTCAGCTTGCGAAGAAAGGAGAGATATTTATAGACCTTCCTTATGTTGTAAAAGGGATGGATGTATCTTTCAGTGGAATATTGAGCTATATTGAAGCAACTGCTGTTGAAAAGCTAAAGAATAATGAGTGCACACCTGCAGATTTGTGCTACTCTTTGCAGGTAAATTTAATTTGTGCTGATCCCTTTCCCTCCTAGTATGTTATATTAACAAATAACAAATTTCTTAGTATGTTACAGGAGACAGTGTTTGCCATGCTTGTGGAAATAACTGAGCGGGCTATGGCTCATTGTGACACGAAGGATGTTCTTATAGTTGGTGGTGTAGGCTGCAATGAGCGCTTGCAAGAGATGATGAGAACAATGTGCTCTGAACGTGGTGGAAGGTTGTTTGCCACCGATGATAGGTATTGCATTGATAATGGTGCAATGATAGCTTATACTGGTCTCCTTGAATTTGCTCACGGTGCATCAACTGCACTGGTGGATTCTACATTCACCCAGCGGTTCCGGACAGATGAAGTGAAAGCAATCTGGAGAGAAGCAAATTTGGCAAAGTCAAATGGTCTTGCACAGAAAAGCATTTGATTTGTCAACCAGTGGTATTGGCTTTGTACCAAGGTCCTATGGAAAGCTTTTCCTATGCATCCTTGCATGAGTTACCTTGCAGCTAGCAGCTCTCTTCTCTTCTTCCCCTTAGGTCATACAAACTTGACTAGAATTTATCCATTTGATATATGGGCACTAAGTTAGTCACAGTCTTTTCAGACTTTGGTTATGTATTGAGCCTGCAATTCAAGTTTGTCTCTGCATTACTCTATTGATGGCAGGAACTGTGATATTATTGAACATAGCATGATGCTCGATTCAATTTTCAGCATGTCAGGTAATGAGGTTGGTCTTTGGAGAGTTTAATCTTTTACCATGAGTTAGCTTGGTTTGATGGATAAAAAATTTAGAGATGATATTTCATGTAATATTTTATTTTATATATATAAACCCTATTTGCCTCATTTTTAAGAAGATACAGATTTACCCAAAGTAATAGTTGTTTCTAAAGTTGCATTTGAAGAGTATATTTTGCCCAAATTCAAACGTAATTCTTCTGAAATCCATTAATCACTTAAAAGGAATTGGTAAACAAGCACAAGCAGCAAAATACTAAGGTGTTTTACTCGCTCCTCCTCTTTGATGTGCTTGTTACAAAGGCGTATATCCTGCAATTTTCCAAATTGTGGTGCGGAGTCACCATACAAATTCACAGTCAACCCAAGTAAGCAAGGAGCATAGGCATTCTTCAAATTGGTCCAAACCTGTTATTTGCAATAGGGCCAGATCCATGGTTTCCACCCTTTATAGTACCACTCCCTTCCTTAATGTTGTTAAGCTCTCTGGTTAGTTTGATTTTGCTAATGTGTTTAACAGTTCTTGCATTTGACCTGTTGCTCATTACTCTTATTGTTAAAAAGAAGAGAAAAAAAGTATATTACGAAACTATTGTCGATCTACTAAGTGACATTATGATAACATTCATGGCTTCTACAACAAGTTTGACAGTCTGGAGGAAGCGGGGAAGGAGGATATGAAAAATGAAAAATAAATGTTTTACACCACCAAACTATCATTACCAATGTTGGATATGAAAATAAGCATGTTGCTAATGTCAGTTAGCAGTAAGGATTGTGGACCACAACCAATTTTTAAGGGAAGGGAGACCCAAAAAACTGATCCAATAACTACAATTGTGGCGTTCTTGTGAAGCTTACCTCGGAGCAATAGGTTGGGTGTCATTGGCTATCTGCTGTTCAATAAACCAATTGTCATAGTAAGCAAAGCATACATTGCCGTTCTTGTTCATAGGAAGACAGAAAAAGGAAAGGTCGTACAAGGTCTACTCATAAGGGCACAAAACAACCCCTCTACAAATGGTACTCTTGTGCATAGGTTTTTAAGAATGCTATGAAACTTGTCATAAACCCTTTAATCGTGGGGTTAATACCAAAAACCCCAATATTGAAGTATGTGAAAGGAGTCTTAGTTCCACTTTCCCAAGAATTATTCAACTATGTTAAACTTGCTTTTGCTTTTAAATTAACTTCTAGTATGGAATTCGTATCAATAGATGAAACTTATAGGTAATCGGTAATCCCATGTCTCCCCTAAAAAAAATAAAAATAATAGAGGAATAAATTCCAAGGCATGATATGATATGAGAGGAAAGAAGGACCACAAGTTCACTTTGATTCTTTTGATCATAATACACAATCTACAAAATCGTAGACACAACTAGTGGACCCTGTGTCACTGTGTGTTTAGCTTGAACCCGAAATCGATGCAGTGATCAGGACAACGAATAAACCTTTGGTGCTATTGTAGCACCAAAGATTAAGTACATTCTACCAATTAAAATATTACATGTCAGCTAAATTTTTTTTCTTTGTAAATTTTTTTCTCTCTCCTATGATATGTAATACTTTCATTGATAGGATGCATTGAATCTTGGTGCTACAGTAGCACCAAAGATTTAGCGCGGTCACTGACTCACTGCTATTTGCGCCATTCCATAATCCCATAAGCCTCATGCTTAAAGGTTTTAATGCCCTTTCAATCTGCCCTTAATCAGATATTTAGTCATAATTACTTGCATAATATTTTCTTGAACAAATTCAAGCCCCTATGATCTTATAGTTTGTAGCATCTATAGGCTTAGCTTAGGTTAGCCTAGCATGCGAGAAAGCAATGTGACAAATTCAATTTTTCACATCTTAAATTTTAGGCTTTTTACCCCTTTTTTTTCTTTCCGCCCCTTGTTGGCCTCATGACCTGTTCTGTTTGTCTTTCAAAGCTATGAATTATGATGATGAAGCCCCTAAAACTTACATACAAGAGTCGCGTTATGTTGGATTTAGATGTGGAATCAATTTTTTAACCAGACAAAATATAATACTTTTAAATTCATGTTAAAAAAATTTATATTCTATTCTTTCTTTTTTTGGGTAAACAAAAAGAGCAGGGACCCAAACAAAAAACAAAAATAAAAACTAATCAAGGAATATCAGTGACTCGCTCCCTCCCTACAAAGGCAATGATCAATCTCATATAACAACAGTATACCACTAAGAGGTTCCACAAATACCATCCGGTTCACAAGACCGCTGAAAATTAAGGATGTAATTTTTCATGTATTTATATTGCAAATGAATCTGCCAATTTTTTATAATCCATGCCCGTATACGAGCAATAAGTTGAAGTTCATGGATTGCTTCATTATTCGAAGTGAGCACAGTGATTGTACTTGAAAAATCACTTTCTATGATAATATTATTAAATCCTTCTTTTCCAAGCCAACTCTAACTTACGAAGAATGCCCCATAATTTTATATTCTATTCTATTCTATTCAATTAGTATTGTGTTCCTTACTCTTATAATTTAATATTCAACATCTCTAAATTAAAAGAAGTAAATATTATTTATGAGGAGTAAAAGTAAAATATAAAACAAAGTTTAAAAGGAATGATTGATTTTACTTTTTGAGAATAGTTGTAAGGTTAAAAAATTCCATTTAAAATAGGTTGTCTTACCCTCTCTCTTTTTCTTGGCAAGAGATTATTTTACCTTTTAAGTCATTTCATGTGCACAAACATTCAATTAAAATATGGCAAATTTAAGGTGTTGGAAAATAATTATTTTCGCGAGGAGAAAAATATGGAAAACCTTGAAAGTTATTTCATGTGCAAATTTAAGGTATTGGAAAATAAAGGTAAAAAAACAAGTGAGAAACAATTATGGGACTAACGTTTTTGCTTTAGTGGTAAAAAAACTTTTTCTATCACTGAGACATAAAATAATGAGAGAAAAAAACATAAAAACATAAGAGAGAAATCAAAGATGGACCTATCTGAAGCAAAAATGATAATACCAACAATTATTTAGGGGAGGAGACAAGACAAAAGGACGACAAAATTAAGGTGTTGTGTTGGGAAAAGGGCCCAGTAAAAGTGGGCCCAGCTCTGAAGCATGTGCTGACGTGGCTGAATGTTTGGGGGAGAAGAAAGCTGACTCTCTAACTTACACTCAAGTTTACTTAACTTGTTCATGGAGCTTGCTTGGTGAGTTTGAGTGGTGACACTGCACAGCACCGTCAAGTTTGAAAGAAAAAGGGGGCAGGAAACAATTCAACTTCACTGTATCAAAATAATAATAACATTTTTTTCTTTCTTTCTTTTTTTAAAAAAAAAAAAATGAAGTTTAAAATTTGAAGTTGGAGTTGAAAGAGATAAGAATAGGAAGAAGATGGAAAGAAGAGGAAAAGGTTTATTAGAGAGAGAGAAGAAAAGGGAAGGATTAATGGTGGAAAAGTTGAAAGATGGGGTTTTTGTGGGGAAAAGAAGAGGCCCTTCTACTCCACCACCCATTTGGAGACTTGAGTTTCCATCTCAGCAGAATGGTTACAACAAAAACCCGGTTCAAGAGTTCCTCAACTTTCCCGACTCAACAACACTCTCTGCTAGAAAGCTCTGTGCCAAACTCTGGGAAATTCAGCCCCACCAATTGTCCCCACTTTCCAAAACCAGGCTTCGCCGCCACCGTAAGGATACAACCCTTGAGGTTCCTAAACAATTGGATGAGCCTCCACATAGACCCTCTAACCAGGTGTAATAACCAAACCTAATGGCTTGTTTACTTAAAACCCATTTTCGATTTTTGCTTTTCACATATGATTTGCTTCTGTACTAGCTTAAAAGAAGTCTATGTGGTTCTCTGCTTGTCTTCTGTTCTTGTTGGCTTTTCTTTCACCTCCTCTTATTGTGTGTGTTAGGGTCTTTTAGTTAATGTGTTTTTCCTGGAATGTTCTCCCCATGCACAAGATTTTGCACCTTTGGGATGTGATCTAGTTCTGGTGGGTAGGGTATCCCATCTGTTACGCTTTCTTCCATCACGTGCATATACATGACCTTGAACTTTTTTGATAAAATTATTCCTATGCTAAATTTGTTCCCATCTTTTTTTATATTCCTTTCTTATGCCTACTATTGGAAATTTCAGTTTCAGCTTTAAAAGATGCTCCGTTGGGTTTGGTTTATTTATGTCAATTTAGCAGGTGATCTAAATTTGTAAAAATATAATTTTGATCTCACATTTTCACTTCACTTATTGTTAGCATTATGCAGTTGAAATGCTGTTTGATTTTTTATTAGAGGAACTTTCATTTAGGCTTTTTCATATTCTTCTTTTTTCCCGTGTCTTTGGCTCTTTCATGACATTTTTATTTATGTTTCGATTGAAATGCTGACCGTTACTATGTTCATCAATGCAGCCAGCATCACCTAGGGGCTTGAGAAGACATGCTCAAGCATCACTTGTCCAGCATCATAGATCAATTGAAAGAAATGGTTGTGCTTTACAGCCGGTATCCCCTGCTAGTTTCAGTAGCTCAATGGAAGTAAGTATATGTATATTCCATGAATCTAGAGCAGTGGTATGACTTTTAATAGGGGCAGGATCCTTTGACACCAGTGTCAAACTTTGAAATTTGACACCAAATCCTAACCGTTGATTTTCGTCAATCAACGGTTATCATTTATTGGAATTAATAATTGATTAATAAGTTTGATTCCCAATAAATGATAACCATTGATTGGTGGAAATCAACGGTTAGGATTTGGTGTCAAATTTCAAAGTTTGACACCGGTATCAAATGATCCTATCCCTTTTTTTAATATATTATCAAATTAATAATACTATGTAAATATGAATGTTGAACGAGAATACAAACTTATTAGTAATTACTTGCCTGTGTTTAGTGTTGCCATTTAATAATTACCATATCAGTTTCTTCTTTGTTTTCCTTTATATTCTGCAAATAAGTTCCTTTTTTCTTTTTATCTATTTTTGTGGTAGCTGGTTAGTGGATTACCCCAGCTGTAAGTAACATTGTATCTCAACAATATTACGTGGAACATTTTGCGTTAGAAGGAAACACAAACATTTTGGTATCCATCATTCTAAGAAGAGATGAAGAATCTAAAGTAGTCAACCCGAACATATTTTCTATTATCTGTTTAGCCTTTTAGGCCACTTTTTCCCTAAAACTTTTATCGTTCACATTTAAAACTTTGATTTGTCAGCACTCTTTCAACATTTGTTTACTCCTTTAATTCAAATTTGACGTGTTCAGGACCTTCAGGTTATGGATTTCTCCCAAAGACCATCGTTAACAACAATCTCTCTCTTGTTTTTGAAGAGACAGAGCCAACTAACTTTGTTTATGGTTTCTTCGTTTTTGATTAAGGCATTGAAATTGATTTGAGGAAACTCCCTACCTTAATTTAAAAGCCATGATAGATTTATTGTGATTCATATCTTGAAAACTGTCTATAGACCAGATGGTTTTAAAATGTTATTTTTCCCTTTAAATCTGGCATTACAAGATGAATATGCTATTTGCTTAAAACAGGTCTCACCATATAATCATTCAGTAAATCCTATTAGTTCCTTAGACTTCAGGCGTAGGAATGGAGAGTCAAGTTTCAAACCCAAAACACCCAGAGAGTTACTCAAGGTACTTAACCGTATCTGGCGTCTTGAAGAACAGCATGTATCAAATATATCAGTAGTGAAAGCCCTGAAAATGGGACTAGATCTTTCTCAGGCACAGGTTAAAGAGTTACAACAAAAAAAGCAAATGAATAAGCAGGAAATGGAGAACTTAATGAAGCAAATGACAGATCAAAAGCCTGTTAGGAAGAACAAAGAACATGACAAAATTAAAGCTGCAGTTGAATTAGTCAAGAAAGAGATAGAAGATGAAAGGAGGTTAAGAAAGCATTCAGAAAGCCTGCATCAGAGGCTGGCTAGGGAGATTTCCGAAGTAAAGTCTTCATTCTTTGCTTCTCTGAGAGATCTTGAAAGAGAGAGAAAAGCACGGATCCTTTTGGAGAATTTGTGTGATGATTTTGCCAAAGGAATAAGAGATTATGAACATGAGGTACGTTCTCTTATGCAGAATGCTGAGAAAAGTGAGGTTAAAGGGGATAGTCTTGATAAGCTAATACTTCATATTTCAGAAGCTTGGCTTGATGAGCGCATGCAAATGAAGCTAGTTCAAGCTGGCAGTGATCTCCCAGAGAGAGATTCTATTGTTGACAAGTTAGGTGTTGATATTGAAAAATTTCTTTGGACAAAACGATCTGTTGACTTGAGAAGACATGGTAACTCCTCCTCAAAGGAGCTCAAGGAAATTTACCCTTGCCTACATTCATTGGATTCCTTTCCACCTAAGGAGGCCATAAGTGCACCTCATAATATGGCTGAGGAGGATTCCATCAGTGCCGACATTTTCGAACAAAAAAGGACTGCTGACAAAGGACTCGACAAATTCAGCTCCAGACAGCACAGCAATAATATTGCAGAGGTCCACAAAGAAAAGAAAGGAAGCCATCATTCAGTGAGGAAACAAGTTCAGTCAAAGGAAATCAGTGAGGAATGTCAGTTGCAAGCAAACGTGGGCAAGAACATGTCATGCGATGAAAATGAGAGTTGGTTTGTTGAGAGGAAATCAAGTGAAATTGGAAGGGACAGCACATCTCTATTAAATGCCACTGGGGTATCAACTGTCTGTGAGGCAACACAAGGTCCACAAGAAAGTGATAGACCCTGGACAAAGAGAATGAATTCAAGTCACAGGCTTGACAACCAAGTTGGAAATAGTTCCTTGTCATCAGAAGGCGATAAGGTTTATCCTGAGAGTATTTGCAGGGAAGATTCTTGTATCCATTCTGCAGCTACAGGTAATGTTAGTCCTGTAAAACAATGGAAATCTACGTTGATTGTCCCAGATTTTGACAAGTCTAAGTCTTCTTCCAAATTGCCTAGGGGAGTAAAGGATGACACATTGATGGCAAAACTGCTTGAAGCAAGGTTAGAGGGGCAGAAATCTCGCTCTCGCTCCAGAGCTACCAAAAGCACTTTTTGATCAGTCAGAAAAAGTTTGTCGTGGGAACATTGGAATGTGAATAGTCGAAATGGTATCACACTATGATCTTTTATCAATGAAGTGCACACTCTAATTCTAGAATTAACTTTTTTATGTAAACGACAATCTTCTTGTAATTTTACATGGTTAGAGGGATGAAAAGATCGCAGTTGTGTCCATTTCCTACTAAGAGAAATTGCTCTGAAATATGTTTCTACACAAGTAACACAACCAACGTTCAGCGGTACCAGTTATTTTTTTATTTTTTGAAGATATTTCAATTGATTCATCGCTTCACATTTAGTCCAATTCAAGACAAGTTTCAGTACTAAGGTTTTAAACATCTCTCAAATATTTTGAATATACATAGTGTGGCTTTAATTGATCTCACGTCATGAGATTCTCTCTAGACGGCCCGGATTTTGACAGATTAAATAGTTGAAGAAAATCAGATTAAATGTTTTAAACTGCTGACTGGTATTTTCAATCACACGTTTTTTAATTAGTTTTCAAGAAAATATAAAAGTAAAGTTCTGCCGGTGCCTGCTCTTGATCTTCCAAAGCACGTACTTAATTAACTAATGAATTCATTAAACATGATTTATGGCAAAACAAAATAAAATAAATAAATACAAAGTAATCTTATTTCTAGTTTTAATTCCTTTTCAAATTTAAAGTTATAATATATTGAAACATTAGTTAAAAAGCATATTAATCCAAAAGAATATTATAATTTAATTATTTTATCAAACTACACGTAGTTAGTTCGACCAGTGATCAAATAAAATGTAAAGACCAAATCAATATCACACCACTAATGTCTTCTAATATAAGTGAATCACTAGACAGTGACATTCATAATTGGTCAAAATCTAAAGACATAAAATGCTGCTGAATATATCCAGTTTGACAGTTTACTTCAATAAATATACTTAAACAAATCTCTTCTATCGACACTGGTTAGCAAGGCCAAACATTTATTATTCATGTGGTGCAAAAGTTGAATTTACTTAGGTGATCTTAATTCCACTAATAATTTTTAATATTTTAATCTTAGAAAATGCTACTTACCTAGGCGGTAGAGAGATTATAAAGAGAAGCAAGTCCAGATTTAAAATATAGAGACACCACCATCATCTAACTCCAGGGTTAAGGTTGGGTTTGACGGAACCTGGATTGACCTCTTTCCCGGACATCGTTTTATGGTCACTCTGGCCTCTCAGTGAAGGATACTTCCACAAGGCCAGATGACCATGTGCACCTAAGAAGATCAGCGGCAGGCCGTTTTCCAAGAATCCCCAAATTGATTAAATTGAAAGTATAGACTTTGGGGGTTAGCCTAGGCTATGTCCTTTCATCTCCTTTCTAAAACTATCAAAACATGAAAACTACACAACTCTTCCCCATTTCCCTCAACCAAACATGCTTAAAAGAATCAGAGTGGAAGGAGGGTGAAATGTGATTAAAGATTAACACCAAATGTTGTTAATTAAATCCCAACTATTCACACAAGTGACAGGAAGGTGAAATTGCAAACTCGATCTATCTGAAATATAGAATCGAATCACAAAGACAAAGAGCTTCCGTTATAAATTCTCACACAACCAATGACACTTTATAGGCCAGCCATATAAAATGAGATCCCTGAACAAAAGCCCACGTTACCTGATCAAGTGATCAATAACAATTATAATCCCTATACGTTCTCTAACCATATCAACATCCCAACTTAAACTGTAACAATAATGAACATCAACCAGCTCATCAAGCCAAATTGCATCCAAATTTATCATCAACAAAAGCAATCACCACTCCAGGAACGATAACAGACAAATCCCTTCATTCCTTTGCAATTCTATTTTGAACAAATAATTCACTAACCTCTAAACAGCATGCTTCAAGGCAAGAAGACTCGTATATATCACAGAACAAGCCAAAGTCATCAACACCCAACATAACTCCAGACAAAAACCACGAAAGAATTGGACCAATATTCCTCTCGATCTACACACTTATGATAATTGGAAACAAACACAAAATTTCCAGCACAGATGAAATATTTTTCTCAGTTCACGAAAATCAACACATGAAAATAAATCAGACATCCTCGTTCTGATTCCAACATCCTAAAAGCAAAACACAATCAAGTGTCACCAGGTCTACCCATTTTCATTCTCATCAGACAATACACTATAATGAAGAACAAAAACCAGAACAAACAAAACAATACTAAAGACAGAATGTTTTTTCTCTCTCTCTCGGGGGAGAGAGAGAAAAAGAGAGAACATATCTAATCACCCCATTAAAGAAAATCATCACTCAAATCCAACTAATTAAAATCGAATCACAATTCGCATGCAATCATGAAAAAATAAGAAGCATAAGGATTATTCAAAAGAAACTAAGAGACATAGCTGGCTATTATTGCATCCAAATTCAGCATCCATATGCAATAGTACACGAAAGCGACGCAAGTGAGAGCTGCAAATATTACATATAATTCAGCAGCATATAACAATTTTTTTTCAAAAGAAGAAGATAGGTATAATAATAAGATAGGGGAAGAAAACAGTTAAATCTTATCAATATCCTCATCCTCAAACTCGATGTAATCATTGGCGGTGGCATCATCTTCCTCATCCAAACCACCACCGATACCTTCGTTGAGCCTGGTGGTATCAGGTAACTCGCCATAGGCCTTCAAGAGCCTGGCCTCATCGGGCATGTACTTGAGGATGACGTCAGCCTTGTCATCCTGATAGTCACGGAGTCCGACGAGGATGATGTCACCGGCGGCGATCCAAACCTTCTTGTGCATCTTGCCGCGGATGTGGCAGAGTCGCTTGGTGCCGTCGATGCACATGGCCTCGCAACGACCGTTCCCGAGCATGCGTAAAACCTGCGCATATTCTTGACCGTCCTCCTTGAACACCAGCTCTCTCTTCTCATCGTCTGCTTCGTTCTTTCCTCTCTTTCGGTTCTTTCCTCCCTTTCCCTTATTCTTCGGCATGCTTCCCAAACCCTAGATTTCGATTTCGATTTCGATTTCGAGTCCTCTACCCCTCTTTCTCTCTCTATCTCTCTCTCTCTATAATAAGTGGAAGATATAAAGAAGGAATCGACGATATTGCCCTCTATATACACACACACATTCCTGAATGTCGGTTTTGTCCCAAAGGAAAGAAGGCATGGCACGTTATATTTATTGAATTACCTTTTTTTTTTTTTTTGAACTGAATTACTATTAGTTTTGTACCATTGGATTGTTTTATACTGATTTTTTATTTTATTTTTTTTACTTATTCATGGATTACTCAACTAATTTGATTGAGTTGAGTAAAACTACAAGAGCTATTCATAGTTGCGTGCTGAGAATTCAAACTTGATATTGTTAGGTTAAGCTAGAATAATACTATGATTTATGAAAAGTACATAATTACTTAATATGATTCGGTTACCCAAAAAAAACTAAATCAATATACATTTTACTTGATATTGTTAGGTTTTCAGTTTGCTGTTCGAATTTCTAGTTTTGATTGGTTTGGTTTTCGTATCAACACTGCAAAGTGCAAACCCCCTTTTTATATTTTTAATCACTCGTTTTTGTTGATAATTATTTTTTATGTTCTGCTAATTAATAAATAAATAAAACAACAGAGTTTTATCTTAAACTTTGTACCACTAAACATACTCTCTTGCATTTCATTCTTCAACGATTACAGTCGTCGAATTTATTATGTTATTCGAAGCCTTTTAGAAGTCCGAGCTTTTCTTTCTATTGGTTTGGCAAGGTCCTCCTCTTGCTTTTGGAGTAAATATCTTTTCGAGTAAATACTTTTTTTTTGTGTTGAAAATTTTATGATACTCGTTTTAGTCTCTAGCAAATAAAAAGACACATCTTGATCCTTAAAAAATTCAAAATGGATCCATTTAGTTGAAATCGTGGTCCTTCACAAATTCAAAAAAGATTCATATTAGTCCCTAAAAGTACTAAAATGAGTCCATTTTGAATTTCTCAGGGACCATGATGGACCTTTTTATTTGCTAGAGACTAAAGCGGGCATCGTGAAATTTGCTGAGGACCAAAAAGAGTATTTACTCTATCTTTTTTCTTCCTCGTTAAATTTCACAGTGTCCACTTTAGTCCTTAGCAAATAAAAAGATTATTCGTGGTCCCTAAAAATTTCAAAATAGACCCATTTAGTTGAAATCGTGGTCCCTCACAAATTCAAAAAAAAATCACATTAGTTCCTTAAAAGGACTAAAATGGATCCATTTTGAATTTGTTAGGGACCACGAATAGCCTTTTTTTCTAGGGATTAAAGCGGATATCGTGAAATTTGCTGAGGACCGAAAATGGTATTAGTTACTTGCTTTTGTGTCCTAAGTCCTATCCTAACCATTACACTGGGATAGCTCCTAACCCTTTATCCTCCTTGCGCTATGAATTGGCTTTCTTCTAGATAATGGATAAACTTTTGATCAAGACATGGGTATTCTGAGGAAAAATTATTTTGTAGAAAATTATAATTCAGAGTACCTTTCATTTTGTAATTTAGAGAAAAGAAGTGCTACGAAATTGAAGCAACCGCATGCATCATTAGGCTTTTCATATTGAGAAAAGGATTATCCTTTTTGTATTATTCCTGAGGGAAAGATTAAATAAGTGATATATTGAACTTTCTAAATGTATCTCGTTTCTTGATTAAGAACTGGATTCAACATCCTCCACCGCAAAATTACAAATATTCATTCCTTTTCTCTTTAAGAATTAGAATATGATTCCCTATATCCATTTATGTGAAGGGAACTGCATCACAATTATTTTAGTTATATCTTCACGTATCAGTATATCAAGGACTCCCTAGCTTCAATCACACGCACCTTGTTCAAAAGTCAAATTTCAGAACTTGCTGTCAATATAGATGCACTTCGCTTTTGATACGGAATTTTTCGATACCTCTACAAGTTCCACTTCCCACCCATGACCCTTGCGGATAAAAAATTCAAAATCACCTAATCCTTTTCACAACCAGCCAAACGATTGAATGCTTATGCAATGTAATTCCAATCCAACAATTTATAACTCGTATTTTAGGAGATCATAGCAGTGAAAGCTCAGTTCACGTGACAACTAAACATCCGTGTCCTTTAAAATACCACCAACTCATTTTCTAACATGCTTCAAGAATATTACACTCAGATCAAACAAGTAGTAACACGAGACTAACTAAATTCAAGTTATGGATTTTAAGAAATAACATGAGCCATTGCACATAATACACTTATAACACTTACAAATTGCCTATGCACTTAAAAGTTTCAAATCTTGCGTTATTAAAATTCCTATACACGTTTCCCTACATGATTGAGCACAAGTACATAAAAAAGAAGTCCAGATGATCCATTTGATCTCATGCAGCACTAGCCACCCAGTGCATGTTGCCCGGATAATACGTTAAGATTACAGCAGGTTAACAGAAAATGAGAAACAGAGCCCAAAAAAGTCAGAGCTACCAACTAGAAGAAAAAGTTTACAGATATAAATCCGGGTCAGTGTCTGATGGTGAGCTCAGCTCTAAGGTGGAGCACACCATTAATAAAGTAGAGACTATCCTCGGCCATGAACGAAGTCCATGGAATTGCAAACAGATTTCTATAGCCAACAGCCTTTCCCCCGGTGAATGTGTAATTGCCTTTGTACTTGCTGACAAATTCCTCCGTTGGCCTAGACCTTGCTGCAAATTCATAGTCAACAGCAAAGCTAACAGAACCCTTTTCCTGCATTCCTAAAAACAGGCCAAAGCAATGGAAAGAGCTCTGTTGGTCCATGTTGCAATGTGCTGATAAGAAAAACCCTTGTCCACCTAAATGGAATGCCTGAGAATAAACCCGTCCAGATGGGAACAAATTGGCACACTCCTCCCGCTTCAGATCCAAGTAAACCACACACTGCTGCCGCGGAAGTTCAAATTCCACCACCTTAACAGGGCGATACTTGTATGCCCGCTCCACAAAAAGACGATTAAAAGCAGCAGACTCAGCAGCTAGTATCCGTTGGCGGTGTGGAGCCTCAGCCTTGAAAAAGAGGGCCTCAAGTACAAGCTTGGATGCAACATCATGGTCAAAGTCATTACAGGTTAAGACCTTCTTAAGCTTTCGACAGGTCATGTAAGGGAAGCGAATTAAACGGGCAAGCCGAGTACCCAGGACTTCTCTCCTCTCTTCCAATTTTGGGTACTGGGTTCGAGCCCACTTCAACACAAAGTCATATACGGCATCCTCTGATGCAACCTGGAGTTCATCGCTACACAATATTGCCTCTACTCCAGCTAGAGGCAAACCCATAACCTCTTCCTGGAACCTGGTCATTTGTGAAACTTATTAGAGTTTGAAAGGCAAAATTACATTTGAGATTAAAAGAATGACTTATGCTTAGAGAAACAGTCCTTCCAAAAGAATATTAAATCAGAACCAAATACCAATAACTCATTTGATTGAAGATTCAAATTTAGCACCCATGTAATGAACATTTATAAATACATCAACCCCTTCCTTCAACACCATTTGAATGTTCTATTTTTTAATGCCACGTACAATACAAATATAAAAAATTTATTCTGGCCCTCTGCTTTAACAGTTACATAATCATGCAAAGATGCCAAAATATCAACAATGAACTTTTTCTCATGGCATGCTATAATGTTAAAAAGCCTGTTTAAGAAGTTTGTAACATGTGAACTTGATTAACTGAAGGTAGCAGTCATCCACCAAAAATTGTTATTTATAAGGGTTCCAACAATTAGATGCTACTGAGGAAAAAACATTCACAAAATACATGGAGTGGACACAAAAGAGTTTAAACCTCAGGATCACCATGACAGAACCTGAATAAAAATTCACAAGCGATGGCAGGCTGTAAAAATTTGTATTAGGCTCACTGATATGAAGATGATATCAGTAGCTGATATGAAAAATATTAGAGAGAAAACAGACATGCTTTTGAGATGCACGTCTCTCCTCATCAAATTCTCTTCAAACTTCTATCTTACCTTTATCTCCTCTCTCCTCCTTTTATCCCCCCCTCTTCCCTTTCCAGCAATCATAACCGTTTTTCCCTCCAAGAGGGGAGTCACACTCCTCTCACTTTGGGAGGGAATGTATCCCATATACAACTTCCTAGAGTACACTCTAATGACAGGAGGTTTCTGGTTCCTAACAAACCACCATCCAAGGAAAACCAAAAGAGTTTATAATGCATGAAACTTAGATCAAGAAACCAAGGTTAAATAAAAAGTGGGGAAAAAAAAAAAACCCTACTTTGTTATATCTTTGTATCGACCAGCAAGATACTGCTTTGCTGCATCAGTCAATGGTTGAACTGCATCAGCCATTAAGACACTAGAAGGAAGCTCAAGGTAAAGCAATGCAGATTCAGGTGTCATAGGCGTGTTCCGCAATAATCGACTACAATATCTCATACATGAAGCAACTTCAAATTTGTCAGCAGCCATCAACACATCCAATAAAGCAGGTGGAGAAGTAGTGCTCAAGTTATTACTATACATAAAATTCAGAAGCTCCATGAGAGCAGCTTCCTCTGTAAATTGCACAAGAAGTTCAGCATTTGTAAAGCAACTACTGGGGGAAAAAGCAAAGTAACTACAAATCTGATTAAACAAATAATCTAAAAATCTTTGTATATATGTTTGTACCAGAAGCATTAATTCTCAGGGTAACATGCCTCTGCTCTGACTCCCTCATTCCATTTGAAAAAAGCTGCAAAACAAACACAACTAAGAAAACATATTTTCAGCAGAATTACTCAAATATAACCAATAAAGAAGGGACATCTACCTTGTAGAAGAAAGGACTTTTAGCAGCCAAGATAGGAGAACTAATATGTAGCGTTCTAACTCTCACAACGGCAGAGCAATCCATTTTCCAGTTTGAATCAATGCTATTTGCAGCCTCATCACCTATATTAACACAAATAAAACTCAAGTCATTGATCAGAAGTGACAACTTCACTCATACGGAAAGGATACATTTTCTTCTTGCAAGCAAAAGGAGAATGTCCTAGTTCTATCCGTGTCTTTCCTTATCAAATAT